ACGGAAGTGCACCGAGTCCAGCTCTGGATTACAGCCAAACCAAACGCAAATGAATGGAATGTATGAAGTTATCGCAAACAAAAATTACGAACATCAGTTTATGAGCAAAATGTGAGACAAAAAAAAAAAAAAAAAAAAAAAAAAACGAGAGAAAAAAGAAAACTGCATTCCTGTTATTTTTCCTCCGAGTCAAGAAGGAAAATCGCATCTACGAAGTCTCGAAAAGAATGAAAATTAAACCGAATCAGGGCCATAAAAATAGTTAACTGCGACACAGAAGCGGAAGGGTCACAATTACCATTAGCCTGGAAACGCAGGAACCATCAAGACAAGTGCGCTGGTAATTCGAACAAACTAAAGTCATTTCCACAAACTCGCTGAACACTTTTGCCTATTAAACTTCCCATCTCGAAGCGAAACGGATAAAATATCCATGTTATCTAGCCAACCTCTCTCCCACTAAACTCCCGGTTTTAACCCTTTCCCCTAAATTTTACATACATCCCGTCAAATGAAGGGTGAGGAAAAAGAAGGTAGAATACGTGCGGAAAAGATATATACATAAAAAAAGACTAAAAAAAAAAAAACATCGCTGTGAGAAATACTTTTGTCTACAGGAAGAAAATGGGTCTCTTACGTCAACGAGCGGAGGGGAAACTAAAGCAAACTTGTCCCATCCTGCTGGTCATTGGGACGGAAACCTATCTCTTCTATCGTTACTGGGAATACCCTAGAGTACTCTCTGACATATTTACTTTTTATATATACAGGAAGAAACTTTTATCTTTTATCAAAAGTTAGACAAAAGCAACATTCCAACATTCGCTGAGTAAATATTTAGTACGGATAAGATATAAAGTGAACACAGAGACAAGAGCGAGGTGCGTATTGTCAAATATATAGAGTATTACAGGAGTATCAGAAAGTTTGAGGATTATCAAAACTACGCGGCACATAAACGGAGATATGAACAGTGCCTTGTGAAAGGGAAATGTTAAGTAATCTCTTTTATATCTTTATTTGTTTTATTTATTCGCTTATTTATCTATCTACTTATTTACTTGTTTAACAATTTGTCTATTTGCTTATTTATTTATCCATCAATGTATTTTCTTAACTATTAGATAAAATATACAGAGACTTGGTGAATTTATCTTAAATTACTGGAGAGGAGGAGGAGAGGAGGAGGAGGAGGAGGAGGAGGAGGAGGAGGAGGAGGAGGAGGAGGAGGAGGAGGAGGAGGAGGAGGAGGAGGAGGAGGAGGAAGAGGAGGAGGAGGAGAGGAGGAGGAGGAGAGGAGGAGGAGGAGAGGAGGAGGTGGAGGAGAGGAGGAGGAGGAGGTGGAGGAGGAGGAGGAGGTGGAGGTGGAGGAGGAGGAGGAGGAGGAGGAGGAGGAGGAGGAGGAGGAGGAGGAGGAGGAGGAGGAGGAGGAGGAGGAGGAGGATGGTGACGGAGAATATTAATAATAACAATGAAAATAATAATAAAATGATAATAATAATAATAATAATGATAATAACAATAATAATAATAATAATAATAATAATAATAATAATAATAATAATAATAACAATAATGGTGATGATGATAATGATAATAATTATGATAATAATACCAATAATGATATTAATAATAATAACTTTTATTATCATAATGAAAATAGTAATACTAATACTCATAACAAGATGACGACGAATAAGATGATATTGATTACGGAGAAGAAGAAGAAGAGGAAAAAGAAGAAAAGGAAGAAGAAGAAAAGAAAAGAAGCTGAAGAGTCCGATTTAGAAGATGAAGATGAAGTAGAATAAGATAAAGAAAGAAAGAAAATACAGGATCAGATTCAGAAGGATGATAACGAAGCAAGTAAAAGAATACGCAGAAGAACAACTGGAAGAAGAATAACAGGAATAACAAGTAAAATAAAAAATAATAATATTAACAAGAGTAACAAGTAGGAGGAGAACAAAAGGTGGAAGAAAAACGAGAAAAATGAGAGAAAATAGGAAGAAAAAAAAAGGAAAAAGAGAAAAGAAAAAAAGAGAAAAAAGAAAATAAGAAAAGAAAAAAAGAAAACAAAGAAGAAAAGAGAAAAATAAAAAAGGAAAAGAAACAAAAGAAAACAAAAGAGAAAAGAAAAAATAACGAAAAGAAACCTAAATAAAAAAAATAAAATAAAAAAGAAAATAAAACGAAAGAAAAGAAAAATAAAAAAATTAAAATAAAAATAAAAATAAAAAAAATAAAAAAAATAAAAATGAAAATAAAAAATAAAAATAAAACGAAAGAAAAAAAGAAAAAGAAAAAGAAACGAAAGAGAAAGAATAAAAAATAAAAAGAAAAAACAACAATAAAAAAAAATATATATATAGAAAACGGAGACTCACCGAGCTGTGAACCCCTTCGGACAGTCGACGTGGACGGCGGCCTGGAACAACACCGCCCACACTAGCCAGTACGTCCGCAGGAGAGAGAACTTGTGGTCGCGGGGAGGGGCAAC